GTGACCTCTGTCCACCTGCACCTGTCCCTCCTCCCTGTGACCTCTGTCCACCTGCACCTGTCCCTCCTCCCTGTGACCTCTGTCCACCTGCACCTGTCCCTCCTCCCTGTGACCTCTGTCCACCTGCACCTGTCCCTCCTCCCTGTGACCTCTGTCCACCTGCACCTGTCCCTCCTCCCTGTGACCTCTGTCCACCTGCACCTGTCCCTCCTCCCTGTGACCTCTGTCCACCTGCACCTGTCCCTCCTCCCTGTGACCTCTGTCCACCTGCACCTGTCCCTCCTCCCTGTGACCTCTGTCCACCTGCACCTGTCCCTCCTCCCTGTGACCTCTGTCCACCTGCACCTGTCCCTCCTCCCTGTGACCTCTGTCCACCTGCACCTGTCCCTCCTCCCTGTGACCTCTGTCCACCTGCACCTGTCCCTCCTCCCTGTGACCTCTGTCCACCTGCACCTGTCCCTCCTCCCTGTGACCTCTGTCCACCTGCACCTGTCCCTCCTCCCTGTGACCTCTGTCCACCTGCACCTGTCCCTCCTCCCTGTGACCTCTGTCCACCTGCACCTGTCCCTCCTCCCTGTGACCTCTGTCCACCTGCACCTGTCCCTCCTCCCTGTGACCTCTGTCCACCTGCACCTGTCCCTCCTCCCTGTGACCTCTGTCCACCTGCACCTGTCCCTCCTCCCTGTGACCTCTGTCCACCTGCACCTGTCCCTCCTCCCTGTGACCTCTGTCCACCTGCACCTGTCCCTCCTCCCTGTGACCTCTGTCCACCTGCACCTGTCCCTCCTCCCTGTGACCTCTGTCCACCTGCACCTGTCCCTCCTCCCTGTGACCTCTGTCCACCTGCACCTGTCCCTCCTCCCTGTGACCTCTGTCCACCTGCACCTGTCCCTCCTCCCTGTGACCTCTGTCCACCTGCACCTGTCCCTCCTCCCTGTGACCTCTGTCCACCTGCACCTGTCCCTCCTCCCTGTGACCTCTGTCCACCTGCACCTGTCCCTCCTCCCTGTGACCTCTGTCCACCTGCACCTGTCCCTCCTCCCTGTGACCTCTGTCCACCTGCACCTGTCCCTCCTCCCTGTGACCTCTGTCCACCTGCACCTGTCCCTCCTCCCTGTGACCTCTGTCCACCTGCACCTGTCCCTCCTCCCTGTGACCTCTGTCCACCTGCACCTGTCCCTCCTCCCTGTGACCTCTGTCCACCTGCACCTGTCCCTCCTCCCTGTGACCTCTGTCCACCTGCACCTGTCCCTCCTCCCTGTGACCTCTGTCCACCTGCACCTGCCCCTCCTCCCTGTGACCTCTGTCCACTGTGCACCTGCCCCTCCTCCCCATGACCTCTGACCTTCTGCGTCTCTGGTGGCTCTGACATCGCGAACAGTGGCCTCAGCTCCGCGAGCTGTGTGTGTTGTGTGTGGTGAACTTACCCACGTGCCTGTCCTGCTCGGGGTCTCAGCTGCCATAGACAGGCGAGCGCCGCGCCCTGCTTTACCTGGGCGAGCTTGGGGGGGCAGGGCCCCGCATCTGAGAGGCCCGTGTGTGGGTGGCTCTCCTCCCGCCTGTCTCCGTCCTCAGTCTGTGGCCACGCGGTCCTGCCCTGGACACGGAGCTGCCACGGGTGGCGCCGCCCCACCCCACCCCAGGGACAGCTGTGGGGGCCAGGCTCCCCCCTGCTGGCCGGGCGGTGGTGGGGGACACGGGAGACTGACCGGCCGCTCAGGGCCCTTTTGTGCCTGTTAAACCCGGAGCAGAGCTGAGTCCTCCGCCGCTTCGGGCGAAGGATTCCTGCTCCCGGCACTGATGTTCCAGCACAGGGGGTGCGGCCCCTGGGCCGGTTTCTGCGCTCCCAGGAAGCTGGCCGCGGGGTTGTGGGGTACCTCCTCCTGGACCCTCCTCGCTGGCCGCTGTGGGGGCGCAGGTCCTTGGACGCTGGCGTTAGATGGAGAAGACATGAGTGGTCATAGGCCAGCGATGGCGAACCTTTTGAGCTCGGCGTGTCAGCATTTTGAAAAACCCTAACTTAACTCTGGTGCCGTGTCACATATAGACATTTTTTGATATTTGCAACCATAGTAAAACAAAGACTTATATTTTTGATATTTATTTTATATATTTAAATGCCATTTAACAAAGAAAAATCAACCAAAAAAGTGAGTTTGCGTGTCACCTCTGACACGCGTGTCATAGGTTCGCCATCACTGTCCCAGGCATATGAGAAACCTTATTGCAGACCAAGGAGCCATCAGACAAACAGCTCTTCAGAGCAGCCGCACAGACAGCAGCCAGCCCGGCTGCCAACCACCATCTTCAACCAGAGACAAAAGGCTTCTTGCCCAGCAGTGACGGCAGCACCCGGGCGGTGGGAAGGCGCCTGCGTGGGGTGTGCAGTGCGATCGCGGGTCCTTGCCTTTGCGCCTGCGTGTGGCAATGGCCTTGAGCACCCAGCGTCCTCTGATTAGGTTCCCACGGTGGTCTTCTGGGCCGGTGGGTCGGGGGCCGGGGGTCACAGGGGACTGAGGGCCCGGCGGGGGCCGTGGCCGGCTGCTCACGCCTGTTTCCCACCAGCAATCCTACGACGTGCTGCTGCTGCTGCTGCTGCTGGAGCTGGTGGTGCAGGCGAGTCTGCACACGGGCACCGTGGTCCAGTGCGCCCACTTCACGGTGGCCCGCCCCCAGGAGCGCCCCGCGGAGGTGAGTCCCAGGCCCGGGAGGTGGCACCCACCCTCACCACCTTCTTTCAGGACCCAGGAAGCGTCTGCAAGGAGAGGAATGTGCGGTTTTTAAAACCAGGCAGACGCAAGGCCATCCTGAAGACATGCCCCGGACTGAATGCCTTGTTTTCCTCCTGCGGACGTGCCAGGATTCACGCGGTCCCCCAGGGTCCCTCGGGCCTCTGGACATGGCTCTGTGGGAGGGGCCCCCGCTCCTGGCAGACGTGGTGGCATCACAACCGCTGGCTGGCAGGCTCTAGAGCAGCCGTCACCAACCTTTTGGACCTCAAGGACCACCGGTTGGTGACCGCTGCTCTAGGGGGTCAGGCTCAGGCTCAGGCCGCCTGGACTCGCCCAGATCCCACCTCTGTCCCCACACCTGGACGGCTGAGGCTCCCTCCCTCCCTGTGGGCGGCCCACCCAGTCCCGCTTCATGGGACCCCGGCCCACCGCCTTCAGGTGCACGATGCCCTGTGCAGGGTCCTGCAGGCCCCCGAGTGCCCTGGGCGCTCCTCCCCGCCGGCCACCCAGGCCCCTCAGTCTCACGCCCTGTGCTCCGCACACCCTGGCGCTATGTCCCCACCAGGCTGCTCCTGGTCCTCCTGGGACCGGCTCCTGCCCAGGGCCCCGTCCTCAGTGACTGCCCTCCATCCTGTCCTGCTGTTCCCTCCACCACACGCCCCAGAGTCTCAGACCCACTGTTTCCTCGTGACCTGGTTGTGGTTGGTCTCCTGTGGGGACGGCTCTGTCCCCTGCTGTACAAGCGATGGGTCTGGTTATGTGTTTGACACCAGGGTACAGAGTTGGGGGAAGGACTTGGGAGCCGCCCACAGCTGCCTCCGTCTCTGTAGGTCTTGGGGGACCACTGCCCGGAGCATCCTCCTTCCCTGGGGTCAGGCCCCGGCCAATGGCATCAGTGTCCCAGGCCAGGTCCAGACCCCTCTCTGTGGGGGTGGCATCCCCTGCCCCCAGGAAGGGCCTGGGGGTCCCACTTATTCCTGTGCTATGGTGTATTGTCCCCCCATCAGCCAGGACTTATCGAGCACCTACTGTATACAGGTGCTGGCTCTGCCAGGGGCCGGCCCCTCCGAGAACCGGCAGGAAGAGAGGCCTCATGAGCAGATGTGGGTCCCCAGGATCCCGGCCTCCTGGACACCAGGCCGCGGCCCACCTCCACGGCCCACCCCTATGTGGCCATGGGGAGAGCTCCCCCCAGCCCAGGCTCCGTTCCTGTGGAGGCCGGGACAGACTCTCCCAGGCCGA